ATGCATCTTGGGCATCAGAACCAGAGGACATGACAAGTGTGGGAGGCTTCATCTGCTGTGTTGGTGGAGGACCAACAGCTTGGGAGAGCAAGAAACAAGTGGACCAAGCATTGAGCTCGGTGGAGTCCGAGTACATGGCACTCTTCCGTGCCATAAGAGAGGTTGTGTGGCAGCGGCGTTTGCTAGCTGAATTGGGGGAGGAGCAGCAAGGACCTACCCCCCTCTACTGTGATAGCCAGGGTGCTATTGCATTGGCTAAGAACCCCGTTCTTCATGGCCTTACCAAGCACATGAAGGTGAAGTGGCATTGGGTGAGGAGCATGGTAACCGCGGGTGAAGTGGAGTTGCACTACGTGAAGACGACGGCGCAGCCGGCTGATATGATGACCAAGAGGCTGGTTGAGCAGCAGCATTGGAAGTGTTGCAAGCTTGCTGGGATGGCTCTGAACTAAGGGGAGCAGATTCTAAGGCCAACAATCCGAGGGGGAGTTTGTTGGTGCAACCCTATGGCTTGCACTCGGCTTGTCGTCCGTGTTTGTGTGTGTGCATGCATGGCATGGAATGACTTGTGAGTCTATGTCATTGCTATCTAGTGCTTGTGTGTGTGTTTGAATGGTGTCTCACAATGTGGTGTGTGTCGGTCAAGACATTAGTGAGTTTTTACAACTCGCATGTCAAGTCGTCGTTTGCGTGTCGCATGTGTTTTTCTATTTTGTCAAGTGTGAAGTGTCCATCGCGTCGCAGGTGTGTGCAGCAAGCCCCCATCAACTCAAGAAGAATTTATCTTGAAGAACCAAGACCAAGAGCTCAAGATTTCAAGCCCAAGGGACGCGGATAAATATTAAATAGTGAAAATAGTAACGCTACTTCGTGTAGTGTTACATTTCACTTGGTGTAGCCCCTTGGAGGGTTTGTTTTGAGACTCTTCGTGGTTGGGGACTCTGTGGTGGTGTACCACCAACCTGGACCTCGGCTCTTGGGGTATGTAGAGGCTGGGAACCATCTCCCTCTCAAATTCTTCTTCCTAAGTTTTTTGTACTCCTAACACTATAGTGGCTGCTGTACCTCCTGCCAGTCAAACCGCCATAGCGTCGTCAAATCTCGATGGAATTTTATGATTCAACTTGCTGCTGATAGGCGACACCAACGCGCTCCAGATCCAATTTACAGATCACCGTTTGAGGCACACATCAGATCGGCATCAATATTTGAAGCTGGCTGACGGAATTCTGACTGTGCACATTTTCTCTCATTTTAGGCACATCTGAGCCTATTGTGATTATAACAATTGACTCAGCTTGGCGTATCAACGCCACATGCCTAGAGGCTAGAATGTGCAAAGCACACGGTGGGGTGTTGCAGGGATGCTGATACAGGAGGGAAGGAAACGATTGGCTAATGGGGGAGGAGAGGATTGCATTCAGGCATTAAAGCAATGGTGTGTCACTGCATAGAGCCAGTGGGATTTACCCAAGAGGTCCTGAAAAGGCTACATGTGCTGTGCTGGGGGGTTGTGGGTGCGTTGAACAACCAGTTCAACAAGCCGTTATAGCCGTGTCACTTAGCGGGCTGGAGGTGTAACTTGCTGCACTAGTCGTTGATTGCAGGCGTTGGGGCAGGCTGAAATCGAGTGTGTAAGAGAGAGAACTGAGAGGTGCATGGGAGAAGCCAAGGGGGCCAAGAGAGAAAAGAAAGTATTGACAGGTAAATGAGAGAAGAGAGATTGCCCAGGGAAGTAGGGAGGGAGCTCGAGAATGAGCTTCCAAACAAATCACTGCAGGCGGCACAAGCAAAAATGGGGGAGAGGCAATAGAAACACGGGGAATGGATGGAAATAGGGCGAAGCACAAGGGAAGCTCAACGGGGGTTGAAATATCCAAATGAGAGGGTCATAGAAAGGTGGGGGGAGGGATTGGGGGATTGTGGTGAGTGCCTTAGAGCAGAAGGTGTCTCTGTGAGGTTCACACGGCTTGGCGGGAAGAGCAGCTAAATGGACTGAAAGGTGAGTCAGCCTGAGGTCAGGTTGGAAGAAAGGGCTATCGTGGAAGTGAGAGGTTCTTTTGAGTCGACTCAAAAACAGAAAGGGCTGCTGCTGTTGTGGAAGGTAGAGGTGCACGAGAGAAGAGAGAGGGGCATGGGAGAGTTGACAGGTGCAGGAGAGAAGAGAGGCTGCCCAGGGAAGTCTGAATGGAGCCATGGAGACAGTTGTAGACATGGGCAAATTAAATCGCACCGCATCGCATCACATCGAATTTTTGCGATTGCAAAATATATATATAATTATATATCATCGCACGATGGGATGAATTATTTACCGCGCGATATGATTTAAATCACATTCAAATCGTGCTGGAAAACACGATTTAAGTGCGATATGTGATCTTCTTTAAATCACATGCAACGCCGAAATACATCGTGCCACGAAATCTCACCAGCAAGGGGGGAAAAAATGCTAAGCCCAAAAACGCATTTCAGAAATTCTCTTTTGGAGATTTTCCTTGGCATTTCGTTTTGGGCCTAGCACACACATCCTACAGCCTCCCAAACACACCATTCTTTACGATTAACGGTGAACAAAAACCCATTACGGAGTAGATTTGGGTGCGTCGCATTAGCTTTTAGGCGCGCACAACGTTTCGCGCAAGGATTTCGGGTGGCGAAAGGGTTTCTGCTGTGCGCAAGTTTTAATTCCGCTACGATGCACGAGCATTGCTCCGTTTCCAATTGTGGATCAGATTTAGGCGCCTCTGTAGGGTTTAAGGCGTGTCGCACCACAAGGAGGCGACATAAGGGTTTAGGGTTTTAGGAGAGGAGTCGCTCTAGGGTTTAGCAATGGGGAAGCGTGGAGGAGGACAAGGGCGGGGGATCGGGAAGAGTGGTGGTGGCACAGGTCATGGCGGAGAGGTCGAACCGGAGGCACGAGCTAGAGCGCACGCATTGACAGGCAAGGAAGCGCGTGCGCAGCGGAGGATGATGGGGGAGGCGGCATTCGCCAAGCTGCAGGGGATTAGGGCAGGCACCTCGCATGTGGTGGAAGGAGGAGGGGAGATGGGAGTCCCCGGCGACGGCGGGCCTGGGATGCAGGGGAGTGGCGCGGCCGGCACTAAGGGCGTATCACTAAAGTACGTCCGATTGCGGTTCGCAGAGATGTTTGCGCTCTGAAACGGTCTAATTCTAGAGCGGTTTAGTATGGTATTTTGCCAAAACGATTTTTGGTGACACACCCTAAGGCGCCCGCCCTTGCGGGCAAGGTGTCCATTAGGGACGAGGTAGAGGACAGGAACGCTTGGCCGATCCGAGCAGCGGCGGAGGGAGTGCGAGATGAGTGTGACAAGGGGAATGAGGATGAGGAGGAGGAGGAGGGGATGAGGACAGCGATGGGGAGGGGGAAGAGGATGGACAAGGGGGGGGGTGGCAATGTGGAAGGGGATGCGGAGGAGAGGGGGGGCGTTGGCGGAGAGGGGAGGGGAAGCGTAAGGTGGATGGCGGCCTTCTCCCCCGGTCGGTTCCTCCGGGAAGAAGACACGCACACCTGCGGAGGGGGATGGCAGGGGGAAGGGGGTGCCTAGGGGCCGTCCCCTGGGCCGGCCAAGGGGGTGGGGCAGGGGGCAGAAGGGTCCAGTGTGCGAGGACGTCGGCCGGCCTGGCATGTCACCCGACTACCTCCACGAGGCGGGGGGAGTGGGCGGGGTGTGGCGCGGACTCCCATGAATGCCGGTAAGGGGAGGGGGGGGGGGGGCATGGGGGAGGGTCACGGGGCGCCTGACCAAGGTCTTGTAGGCGCCTTCATGGAGGTGGAAAAGGATCCACCACGGTGTGTGGCTTGTTATGACAAGTGGCGGAGGGTTGGAGGAGATGCAGGAAGTGCAATGACTATGTGAGCTTCGCGGGCCACACCATGTCGAACGGGTGGGCCAACATGGTTGGATACCACATGGCGCACTAGGACATTTTGACTAGGTTGAGGTGGGAAGGGGAAATGAAGGTCGGGGACCAGCTGCCAAAGGGGGGGTTTGGGGACGACGAGGCCACTGACGGTGGCAGTGCCTGGTGGGTGCAAGGTTTTAAAAATATGGCGTTTGTTCGTTTAATTGTTTTTCCCCTCAAATTCAGGCCGTTTGCTACGGTACCATATTTGTTGGTTGTTTAATTCAATGTAAAACGATTTCAAATGGTTCCTTTTTTTTGGTGGAAAAAAGCGGTCGTGTTTTTCGACCATTTTTTTTATACATATAAATGTTTCATAGACTATACAATTCGTTACACATTTTGACAGTTCGGTGCTCATCCAACCATTGAATTGTATTCAGTCAACATTGCCCAAGGTGCAACATCAGGAAATTGCCGAGCCGCACATTTCAAAGGGTTCATCAAAACCGTTGCGAAACTGACGGTTTCGCAAAGGGTTGGCGTTTGTTTTTGTTGTGTGATGTCATCATATGCTATCACATTCTGTCTGCCTCCCATTCCATGTTTTCAACCCACGTGTATGGTTTGACTGTGTGTGAAAGAATTTGTGTGGTGTGTGTTCTGGAGTTTGGGAATGTGTTCTGTGTTATTTTTGTTTAAGCAGGTATTTTGTGATGATAGATCTTGAGAAGATCTTTCCGACGCAACAAGAATCGCTTCAATCGGAGCAACAACGCGAAAGCTATGAAGTTTCAAAGTTCACGAGCTTGCGTTACAGTTGCGGCGGTTACAAAGTGAAGTTGTGGGGTGACTCTATATGGAGTTGGGACCTTTGGGGTTGGGAAAATTCGTCACTCTACTGTAACAGCTGCAAATTGGTTGGGAACAACCAAGTTAGGTTGGCAAGGGTGGCCAACTTGGATGGATTGGTTGGGAAGGGACAAATGTCAAAGTTGGGGTTCCTATAGGGAGGGAATCTTTGTGCTTTAGGGTTTCCTTGGTTGGGGACTCTCTTGGGACCTTCCCTCTCATCCCTCTCTTCTATCCCAACCTTTCTCTTGCTCCTCTAATTCCTTGTGAGATTCTTGAACTTTGATTGAACTTTTGAGATTGAGTTAAGTTCTCCTCCTACCGCTTACCCCCTAGTGCTTCGAAAGCCATAGCGTCGCGAATACTTCATCAATCAACGTGATTCAAATTAGGAACGGTAGATGACATTAAGAGCTACAACATATCCGAGTTTCGCGACATTCCAACGGCTAGTTTTGCGTCGACGTCGTTTCTTGTGAAGACGACTTTTCTGTCCAGAATTTTCGGATTTATATTTTGAGGAATTGTAGCTCCTAAACACACCTAGACTCCGTCCTTAATCCTAACAAGTGGTATCAGAGCTAGATTGAGGACATTGAGAGGAGACTACAGAAGTGTGAAGACCCTTCTAGACCCACCATGGCCTGTGGGTGTGTCTAAGTGGTGTTCTAAAGGTTGGATGTGTCTTCCGCTAAGGGGAAACTCTGCCGAAATTTCGTGGACGCCGACACTTGTGAAAATATCGAGGGAGCTGAGTGTGGACAGCAAAGGGGAGCTGAAATTCGTCATTTCTCAAGGAGAAGATGAATGAGAGGGGAGGAGATGCTAATGGAAGAGGAGCTGTACCTGAGAAGACAAGTGAGCCGCCGCCATCAAAAGTTGAAGCTTTGGATGGCTCCAACTATGAGGAATGGAGCGGGCGGATGAGGAGTGCCTTCAAACGCTACAAGCTACTGAAGATTGCTATTGGGAGAAGATGCCGGAAGAAGGCGAAGCACGTGAACGGTGGATTGAGAAAAACGCGGTGCTTTTCGACCTCATCCTTCAATCGGTCAACAAGGAGATGTTCGAGCACATCAAGCATCTTGTGGAAGCGGATGATTCGGGTCCAAGGGCATGGAAACTACTACGTGATGTGATTCAGCCCAACACTCTTCCGGTGGTGATCGTGCTCGAAAAGGAACTTGCTGCCATCTCCATGCGACCAGGGGACGATGTGAAGCCGGTCCTTGACAAGATCAAGGACACCTATGCAAGGATGGCAGCAGCGGGCAGCAGTGTATCTCAGCGGCAGCAGTGCACCAAAATCATCTCGGTGTTGGACAACTCTTGGGACAACCTCATCCGCACCCTCAACTCTCAGCAAGATCAATGGACATCTGAGTGGCTAAGGCAGCAGATTCTGCAGGAGGACTTCCGCAGACGCCATGTGGGAGGTGGTGCTTCCACTAAGACTGCTGAGGGGTATGGAGCTGCAGGGCGTGGCAGAGGAAGAGGGGGTTGGAGAGGCCGAGGCCATGGGAGGAGCTTTGGCAGAGGTAGAGGCCGAGGTGACTATAATGAGGGGCATGGGAGCTCCAGTGGCAGGGGGAGTACCAGAATGGAGGGCACCTGCTGGTACTGTAAGAAGGTCGGGCATCCTTGGTTCAAGTGCTTCAACAGGCCGGAGGGATGGGCACCTCCAGGCATGAAGCCGCCAAGTGGTGAACGTGCACAAGGTGGCGCTGTGCAAGGCTCAGGTGCACAAGGTGAAGGTGCACAGGGTAATACCTATCCTGGGATGTTTCTCATGGTTGAGGATGTGCATGGGCATGAGGGTGATGTGGGATCTGTGGGAAAGGTTGTGATGCACCCTCTCACACACTGGGTGATTGATTCAGGTTGCACCAGTCACATGACCCCACGGGCAGATTTGCTTGATGAGGTAAAATCCCCTGGGAAGATTAAGTATGTGGCAGCAGCGTCAGGTGCTTTGCTCCCTGTGATTGGTGTTGGAAATGCCAAGGTTAAGGGAGCTAATGGGGAGCTTGTGGGGCTTGGGAATGTTCTGCTGGTTGAAGGTTTGTCTGCTAACCTTCTCTCTGTGCGGCGACTGCAGAAGAGCATTGTCTGTCTGTTCAACTGGAATTACATCCCAAGTGCTCTCGTCAAGAACACTCATCCCCTCTCCAAATTGCTCCCATCTACCTCGCCACCCAACAGTTTTGCCGCCTCATGGTGAGGCCAACCCCCGGCTCGCACAGCCGGGGGTCATTCCCTCGCGGCACAAGCTGGCCGGTCTCATCATGCGGCAGACGGCGCAATGCAAGGTGTTGGTGAAGGCAGAGATGGCAGCTGACAAGGGGGTGAGCGTGATCTCGTACACGACGGGCATCTGGTTGTCGGAGAATGACATCAGTTTCATGGGCATCAAGACGCTTTACATTGACGCCCAGTGGACGCTGAGGCAGGCGACGTTGGACTTCAGGCCTCTCTCCGCTGGGCACACAGCGAGGCCTCACAGTCATCCTCGAGGAGGTGATTGAGGATTGAGGGCTTGCCGGGCGGTGTATGGCGCTCACCACCGTCAAATGGTGGCATTCGGTCTGCTCAAGGCAGGCGACCAGGGAGGCGGGGCGAGGCGAACAACCCCTCAGTTCGGCGAGGCCGCCCACGTCCGGTAGGTCATCGTGCCATTACCAGCAGGGCTTGAATGTTCACCATCTCTCGTGTCATTGCTCTCTCCATACTTCAATGTGGGGTGTAATGGTCTAACCTGTCATTGGGCTTGGTGCAAGTGCCTCGCCCACGTCAGCAAAATCGCTGTGCACGAGGCTGTGGGAGGGGTGCCGAAGGTGGATGCACCACTGAAGAAGCTGCGCAACCTTTCCTCGCGCATAGGCTTCTTGGTAAACAAGATGACCGCCTTTGCGAAGGAGGAGCGTCACCAGTTCCCTGGGAAGCAAGTCCTGAAGTTGAAGCACGACCACCCGGTGCACTGGGGCTCCACCCACGCCATGCTGAGGCGGGCAATCGAGCTCAAGGGACTGATCAAGGCCTTTGTGGCTAGGGACGTATGCTACATGCGCCCTTCTGCCTTGCCTTACTAGTAAATCCACCAACACACACCTCCATTCCACACTCCTGGCCGCCACCCTTCATGTCCCCTCGAACAACCCTCCTCCTTTCCCCTCCCCCTCCCCCCTGACACCCGACTCCAGGGGTGTAACAATAGGGAGCAGGCCGAATTGGACAAGGCAGTCACTGACGCTGAGTGGGCGCTCCTTGGGGAGTTGATGGCGTTCATGGCGCCATTCATCAACGTGACATTGGCCGCCGAAGGGTCGGTATACCTCACAGTGGCACGTGTGGTGCTGCTGTGTTACTAGACTACCTGGAGAGGAAGCTGTCAGCGGTGAAGGAGGGGTCAGTGACGGCACATTGTGTGTCCAAGCCGCTAGACAAGATGCTCACTTATTTTTATTCCAGCAGAGATGACCTCAATGTGGCAACTTTTCTGGACTCTGCCTTGAAGAGGGTGTGGTTTGAGCGGCCGATGGTGGCAGGCACCAAGGGGGTGGTGGAGGAGCTGGATGCCGGCAAGGTGGAGGAATTGGTTCGTGAGAGGTGGGAGAAGTACAAGAAGAAGGTGGATGATGTGGCGGCAGAGAGGAGGGGGGCGTTGGTGGGAGAGGGGGCAACAACGCGAATGGAGGGGAAGAGATGGAGTCAGAGGGGGAGGAGGATGAGGACTTGGGTGTGTTCACTCACCTCGCATCGGTGCGGGCCTCACAGATCTCATTAATGCATAATGAGATCCAGTAGTACCTGGCGCTCCCCTCTGGCGGAACTGCACGACTGCCCCTTGAAGTTCTGGAAGGTCCACACGGAGCTTCCAGCACTGCAGCTCATGGCTCGGGATTACCTCGCCATCTCGTCCACCTCCACACCTTGCGAGCGCCTATTCTCACAAGGTCGCAGCCAAATCCACTGGCAGCGCTACCGCTTGGGGCCAGAGCAAATCCATGCTTGTACAGTATGATGCTGAAGTCATGGATTGCAACCCACCCAAGGCAGCGGCTTGATGGCCCGCAGGCGGCGGCAGATGGAGAGACAGCCGACGATGCGTGGAAGCTGGGCCTTGAGATCGGTCCGGGGTTGTGAGAGCATGCTCAGGGGTTTGTGTTGGCTAGGAAATTGACTTGTAGTGACATTGTGCTACACCGATGACTATGCTGCAGCACTGTTGCTTGCTTCCTCCCAAGCCCCCCCCCCACCCTCCTACTCCCCACACCCCACCCTCCTACTCTCCACAACACCCCCCCCCCCCCCCCCCCTAGGCTCGATTTAGGGTTTTTAGGTTCGATTTCTATTATGTCCTAAACCGCGATGCGATGTAAAATCGCATCGCGCAATTTATTTAAACATCACATGCGGTTTACTTAAAGCAAGCGGACAGACCAAACTCAAGACTCACGAGTTTGGGTAGCGAAAATGACGAGCGGCCCATCCAGCCCTGCCCCACACGAAACAATCTGGCCCCTCGCAATGGGAAAACATACCTCGTCAAAACCTGTGAGGTCGCAGGGCAGATTCAGGGTGACAGCACCACTCTGCCCCAACCAGACCATGTTCGCATGACAGCTGCTATTGTACTACAAATTGACACGTACAACAAAAATGCGCAAACAACAGCAACGGCAGTCTACCAGCCGGTACAAAACCAAGGCACGAAAAAAAAACGGGAAGCCAGCGGAAACAGGCCTTGAAAATCACTGCCAACCCCACCCGCTAGGGGGCGGATGAGGCGAGGCAGGGCAGAACCATGCGGGAGAGGGGATTCAGCACTGCAAAATAGGTTGATAGAGAGAGTGAGGCGAGAGAAACAGGGAGAAATGCGCAAGGACACGGCGAGGGAGAAGGGCATAGTGCGGAAGAGCAGGAATTGCGTTTAGGGGCTGAAGCGCCACCGTAATGGAATGCTCCTAGATGACGAGGGGCAGTGGGTGATGGTGGTCTGGAATAGGGGAAGAGAGGGCGCACACGCCACTTGGAAA